GGACCGGTTATCCCGGTGTTCCCGAAGCCTGCAGCAGCTGGACTCGGCCCGGCGATCGCCTCGCCGTCCTTGGACCAGGCGATCGTGAACGGAGGATCGCCCTTCTCGACCATGCAAGTTACCTGAGCGCGCACGCCCTCCGACAGATCCTTGTTAAAGCTAAAGGGAGCTATCGTGGGTGGAACTGCACAAAAAAGAAAGAAAAGAAATAGATTCAAAGATACGGGGTGGGGCGGGGATGGTTAGATGGCGGCCCATGGTACGTGGCCCATGCCATTTCCGCGTGCGATCCCAATGGATACGATCGTACATCTGCCTTTGCTTTTCCATGGGCTTTCGGCCCATCGTGTTTGCTTTCCGTTCCACTGCACGCTTTCCTCCGTTGAATGATCGATGCGCGTTTAGTCGCCTCGAAAATGTTTAGCGTACGTGCGCTCTCCCGAGATTATGTATCACGATTGATGGAGATGCGAGAACGTCGATCCCAACTTGCCCAGGCGGAATTGTTTTTCGCGTGGATTTTCGCGAGTAGTCGGTTTTTTTTCGCATCGGCGTTGTTGGTCATCGTTGGGGATCGATCATGCTCGAAACTTTGAAAGCTTCCCTATTTCTTTTTTTCTTTTTCCTCTATCTTTTTGGGAAAAAACGTCACCCCCTTCGCTCGAAATTCGCCTCTTCGGCTCTTCGATATCAAATTTTATCTCCGACAAACGATAGAGAGAGAGAGAGAGAGAGAGAGAGGAATCTATTCGTTCATCGAATCCTTCTCTCATTATCGAACTTCGTTCGTTCGTAATATGATTTTGAATACCGTTAATCAAACGTCGGACAAATAGAGAGAGAGAGAGAGAGATAGAGAAAGAGGGGATTTCACACGCGTAGTTTCGATGTCGAACATCTCGGTTATATATGTACAAACCGACGTCCTTTGAAGGATTACATCTCTCGTCCATTTAATTATTAAAGCTGACGAATCTATCTTTCCTTGATATGAATCCAACATCACGAAAGCGTAGTTTCCGCATTACGGAACCCTTAATAGATGCCGGGCCAGCGTAATGCGATAACATCAACGCTGCTTATCAACCCGGCTGCGCGTCATTACGCGTATGCCGTTGTACAGCTAGGTATAGGATCGTATTAACATTGACGAAGTCACAGGGGGCGTTTCGAAGCGGTAAACGCGCCAATCGATAGCGGCCCGTTAACGAAATGAAGCCGAACTATTTACGTTAATCGAAGTTATTAAAAGGGCCGGGAGGATCGTCCCACGATTCTCCTTTATTCCTCATTTCCCACACAACTCTAAAACCCTCGTCGAAAGCTGATTTATATCTCTGAAAATCTCTCTCTCTCTCTCTCTCTCTCTCTCTCTCTCTCTCTCTCTCTC